ACAACAAAGATACCAACAACTACAACTGCAGTCCCAACAGCACAGACACTAACAACTACAACTGCAGTCACAACAACAACACATCCACCAACAACAACTACAACTGCAGCCCCAACAACAACACAGACACCAACAACTACAACTGCAGTCCCAACAACAACAACACAGTCACCAACAACTACAACATCTGCAGCCCCAACATCAACACAGCCACCAAAAACTACTGCAACTGCAGCCCCAAAAACAACAACACAGACACCAAGAACAACAACTGCTGCCCCAACAACACCCCTGTCATTAACTACTCCTGTAACTGAAACCCCAACAGCCTTACCCCAATTCACTACTGCTACAATAACTACAGGGCAAACACCACCTTTATCTACTACAACTGCAGGCCCAATAACTCAATCAACTGCTACAACACCACCATCACCCAACGTTACACCACCTCCAACTCAAACCTCAGCCTCCTTTCTTGAAACTAGATCTCCTAAAGGTAAATGTTTTTTTTTTTTTTTCATTCAAACTGTATAGATGTCCTGACTGAGAATTACTGGATTTGATACCTGGATTGAGCATGAACTTTTTTTTTTTTTTTTTTTTTTAGACAATTAGTAAAATCAAGCTCTTTTGAAATCAACTGTATTGTGTAATTACTCTAGTTTTAAAATGTTTTGAAAACATTGTCACAATCCTTCAAATGTCATTTTTTTTACCCTTTTTTTTAATCCCAAATATATTATTTTTAACCCATGCAGGTTTGGAATATCTAGCACACCTCCAGATAAGAGTAAGATCTTTTGGAGAGGTCAGCAATGGAACTCTCATTGAGCTTATTAAACAGGTATGTAAACCTAAATGCAGTAAAATCAAAGTTTTGTTCTTTTTCAGCTAACCTTCAATTATAATCTACATAAAGAAAATAAGACATCTGTTGTTTTGTCTTCCCATTTAGGTTTTCAGAGACCAAATTCTAAATGGAACCACCCACACAATCGACGTGCGACAAATTCAAAGGCTGGCAGATAACAGATAGACACGTGTGCGCACAGAGGTCATGCCTGAAAGCAATTTAAAGAAGTATTTTTTTAAGCCAGTTAATGGGATATTCAATATTTTGTGTTTTGCACATGTTAAAAATTAACATTTAAAGTTAATGTCAACAACCAGTTATTTCACAAATCTTTTGCTCAAGAACCTAAATTTCTAGACTTACTATATCAAACATTAAATTTAGCAAAACAAAACAAATACCTAAAGTACCACTTTTTTTTTTTGTATTTCTCCACACACAAAAAACACGTCATTTTCATTTGAACATTTGTATCAACAGAAACGCTGATCAAGCTCCAGGGTCTGTGAAAGATTTAAGTGCTTTTTTCTCCTCATGCTTTGTTACTGAAGAAACAAATACCAAACCTGGCTTCCAAGAGACTAGAACAGTAGGTTTTGTGATGACACCTACTTTTCACAATACTAATATGAGGAAACTGGCAAGGCAGTATTTCATTCCAAGACTATGAGAGGCTGTTTACTGAAGCAGGAGAGTCAATTCACAAAATACACAATTACATCTTTCATATTTTATTTTTGTTTTAGAGACAACGTTTTCAGATTTATGTGGCCAACTGAATGTCCAGGTGTGTTGTACAGAATACATAGTGCTTTAAAACAGAGCTGAAATGCTGTGGTACAGACAGAAACGTTAAATTCAACTTATCATAATTAGGTGCTAAACTTGACATAGGATTTCCCACACAGCCGTGTAAAGTATTATAGAGCACTGCACATTTTGTAAAGCTTTTTATGATTTTTTTGTTGTTTACAAATGTGTAGTTGTTACTGAGAAAAGAAACGGCTCGTCTTGGCATCCGTTCTTGTTTTGGTTCTTGGTTCATTTGATTGCCTCGTTTTGATGAGTGTTGACTCCCACCCTGCTTGAAATCTCAACAAAAAGTGTCGATTTTGAGCAAATAAAGTGAAATGAGAATACGCTTTGAAATGTAAATAAAGTGTTTATAAATACACATTTTGCTCTTTTTTTCAAGATATTTAATTCAAACTTTCAGAGACTTTATTCATCATTTGATTAAAATGTTTTAATACATTACCTTTAGTTTTAAAACCATGAGAAAACACAAAAAAATGACACAAATGCAAACCATTTTCTGCACATCTAATCATGAAGTGAACCACATCGTCTAAAGGCTGAGGGTGACTTTAGAGTTAACATCCGAGTTTCTGGAACGGCTCTTTAAATGTTCAAACATCAAGTGAATCTAAAAAGAAAATACAGGTTTCTTTTTTTTTTTAAATAACTATAAAGCATTTTGTAAACAGTCTGTTGAATAAAATCCAATATGTGCCATTACTCATGGTCTAAAAAGATATTTACACATCACAAATATTAAGCAGCTGAATGAATAAAATCCAGGCTCAGAACTTCCAGCAGGAACCTTCAAACTACTGAAAGGCAGTAAAGGCAAGTATGTAAAATATCCATTTGGGTTTCCATTTCATCATCTTGTCACCACTTCTGTGCTGACTGCCTCTCAATATTTGTTTGTCCGTGAGTTCAGGGCGTTCTGCAGAGCTCGGTTCAGCAGCATCAACAGATCCAGAGCCTCCTCCAAGCCCCTGGGCAGGAAGAGCTCCAGAGAGCCAGCTGAAGAGTGGGGCAGTTTGATGTTTGAAGTGTTTGGGTCCTGGAAAAATAAAAGAAAATAACAGCACCAATAGTGATAGTGATTTGTGACAAAAGGGTATCTGCAAAAGTCAAAGGAAAAGTTTACAAGACAGTTGTGAGACGAGCTATGTTGTATGGTCTGGAGACAGAGACATGGACAAAAAGACAGAAGAAAGAACTGGAAGTGGCAGAAATGAAGATGTTTAAGTTCTCCTTAGGAGTTACAAGGATGGATAAGCTTAGGAATGAGATCATCAGAGGTACAGCACAGGTTGAACAACGGGGAGATAAAGTTAGAGAGAACAGACTGAGATGGTTTGGACATGTCCAGAGGGACAGTGTTGGTAGAAGGATGTTCAAAATGCAGCTGCCAGGAAAAAGACAAAGAGGAGATACTGTATATGGATGCAGTTAGAGAGGACATGGAGGTAGTTGGAGTGAGGACAGAGGATGCAGAGGACAGAGATGGAGGAGGATGACTTGCTGTGGTGACCCCCGAAGAGGGAAAAGCTGAAAGAAGAAGAAAAATAAAACACCAACATAATTTTTACTTTTTGCTAAAGGCGATATGACAATTAGCCTGAGAACGCTGGTTCGATTAACAGACAGCAGCTGGCTCTAAGGGATTTTTTTTTTTTTTTTTGGGAAAACACCAAAAGGAAAAGATTTAAATAAAATAAAAGTAGAAAATTAAGCATCTTAGTAATAATGAAAATTTAGTGCATGACATATCTTACTTAACTTCCTTGTATATTTACTGGTAAGTAACCTGCAATTTTACATTTCTACCACTCCCTGATGGATTATGCAAAATGCTTCTGACGTTTTTTCCTGATTCATCTCTAAATCCACATTCATTCAACCTTTATTTATACAGGTGACACTGCATAATCTCACTGAGTCACAAGGACTCATTTTCAAGAAAGACCTGTTTAAGACAAAAGCACACATAAGGTACACACAACAATAAACAGTCATAAAATGCATAAAAAATTAAAAGCAATGATATAAAACAAAATAAAATCAAGCTACATTATAAAATGATGATGCTTGTTATGTTAAAAATTAAAAAAATAATAATTTGAAGGCACAAATATGGGGTTCTCTAGATTATTTTGAGACATCAGGAACTGTTTGACTCATTTTAATCCTGTTAGGGTTAATAATTAAAATGCAGAAATCGTGGTAAATGTACACGGCTTCAGAAAGGTTTTAAAATAGAAACTTTATTACATGTAATTAAAAAAAGAACAGATCAGGCTGAGCCTTATTTGTTACATGAAAAACAGTGCATTTCTCCAACGGGTCAATTGATGTGGAAGTAACCGTACGAAGCAAAATCCCCTCTTAGTGCTGGTAGACCCAACATTATTGAATCAATGGTACTATTAACGTGTTGTTAATTTATTGTTGGTGCAATGACAGAATTAGAAAAAAAAAAATCGTAAATAATGAAGTGTTTTGGTTCAATCAACAAACTGTAAAATCATAATGTATAAATGTTTTAATTGTGATTTTTGGACACATAAATTAGGTTAATATTGTTACTCTGTTTACAGACTATTAATGGTAGTTGATAGCTTTAATGAAAGAAAAAAAAGGGATTTCTTCTGGGGTAATAATAAAAAAATAAAAAAATAAAAAACATGTAACCAAGATGATTGGTTTTTCAGCTCACACCATTGGTTAGTTCTCTATCTTTCAGATTGGAGGCAGTGTGTTCAACATAACTTTACTTCCTCCAGTTATTTAACAGTCAACAATGGTGTACCACAAGGCTCAGTCTTAGGGCCCACCCTCTTTACAATCTACATAGGTAATGTAGGTCAGAGCATCCCTGATGCATCCTTACATATCTATGCTGATGTCACAGTTGTTTATTGTTGAGATAAAACAGTTGCTAAAGTTTTCCAGCCTTTGCAATCCACTTTTGACATCATCCAGTCAGATTTGTTCTGTCTCAAACTTGCCCTAAACACCAACAAAACCAAAGAGATGATTTTTTTTCAAACAGGAAGTTGGTCCCAGCAGTTCTTCCTTTGATTTTATCCTCAAATGGTACTCTTATTGAGTTTGTCGATTCCTATAAATATTTTGGTATCTTTGTCGACTCACATCTCTCTTTTAAATTCCATGAGGAAAACTTTGTATGTCAACTGAAAGTTAAACTGGGTTTCTTTTTCAGAAATAGATCCTGTTCAACTCTGAATGCTAGGAAACAACTTGTAACTGACTTTCCTTCCCTCCATTGATTACAGTGACATTACTTACATGAACGCTCCTACAAGAACCCTGCAGATGCTGGATGCTGTCTATCATGTGCACTAAGATTCATAATTTGCTGTAACTACCATCCCCACCACTGCACCCTGTATTCACTGGTTAACTGGACATCATTAACTTCACACAGACTCTCTCACTGGTACATTTTCATCTTTAAATCACTTCTTGGTCTGTCGCCTTAATACATCTCCTCCTACATGTCTCTGTGTGAGTGCAGCTACAGCGTGCGCTCTCAGGACATTATTACCTGCAGTGTTCCCTCAATGTGGACTGAACTTGTCAAAAGGTCCTTCTCCTACTCCGCTCCTGTTTCTTGGAATATCTTGCAAAAAGATCTGAAGCTCTCGACCTTGACCTCTCTAAGTGGCTTCAAACATCTGTTAAGTTCATGGAAAAACCAACACAGACATGTTCCCATTTTTAATTTTCTACATCGCCTTACATCCTATCTGTTTTTTGTTACTTTTTTTAATACTATTTTATTTTCACTTGTTACTCTCAACTTGTATGCATCCTTTATGATTGTCTGTCGTTGTCATTGTTGTCCACTGTCGTCATGTCTTTGTTAAAAATTCATGTCTCCCTTGTAAATGAGTCCCAGAGGCTCAATGGGATTAAACTTCACCACGTGCTCAAGCCGAGATCGGATGCTTCCCTCCCTCCCTATCCGCTTTGCTGCTCTGTCTGTCTGTGAAACTGCTTCTGAGACTCTCTTGCATTTCTTCCAAACCATAATTATGGACTTGTTCTGACCAGTTGGTCCCTCAACTCAATTTACAGCATTTCTTCGAGAGAAGACAGGCTTTAGGCGAGCCGATTTACCCTGTTGGCACGTACGCAGCTGGATATCTCATCGACTGGAAGACTTGATGATGTGTCTATCTCTGCTGCCATCTGTGGATTTTAAGGATGCATATTTAATTGGATTCACAATAACTGGTTCCTGCTTTTTGGATTCAGCTGGTCCTGGTTTTTATCTACAATCAAGGAAGTCGTCAGCAGCAAATTTGGACCCGATCACGCTGCTTGCATTTATGATGGTTTGGTTTCATGTCGAGTACCCGGTCTCAAATGCTTTGGGCTGAATGGATCAGATCTTGGGGATTTTTACTCAGACATGTTCCATCGGTGTTGCCATGTTATTTTGGACATTTCGGAACCGAGTGGACCAAACACAGACTCAAGGCAGATGTCATTAAGTTCTGCCTGTCCCCAAAACAACTGTGTGCTTATCTAAATTTTGGTCGCCTTGGTGTCCTTGAAGGCCACCTTATCTGAATTTCGCCTGGAGAAAATGTGATCTGACGCTCACCACCCCCTCCCTGAGGAATTTCCAACTGATAACCTGATGAAACCCCGCTGAAAAAACTTTGTGTCATCATTTCAGGACTCTGGATTCTCAGGGGTTACTCTTGACCATTCCTCGACATACCTCGAGAATGTTTATGGATCTTACCGGAGGACATTGACTGATTACAGTGACCTCGAGAGCATCTGTAGGCGTTGTTGACCGCTCTCGTCTCTTCCTTCTTCCTGCTCTGCTCTATTGCAGAATGTCTACGTAAATATGTGCTTGTTTGTGCGAGGTGTTTTTTCAATATTAGGGGTTTTTCTCAGCCAAGAAAAAAGTCTGATAGGAATTTTTTTTCACCTCCAACTCCTACATGTGTCCAGTTAACCACTGTTTTGTCTGTCCAAACAGGTCTCACTTGTAAATGAGTCTTCGAGGCTTGATGTGATTTACCTGTTTAAATAAAGGTTGAATGAATGAATGAAAAAACTGTATAAATAAAGGTTGAATGATTGTTATCTCTAATATTTGGGCTTTACTTGCTTCTATCTGTCAAAGCATTTCTTTTATCTGAGATGTTGATTTTTGACTAAAGTGAAAAAGTTTCTATTCCTGTCCTGCTAAGCTAACAGATACCAACCTGGGTATAAAAACGCAGGGAGATGAGTTTGGGGAAGCCAAGAGGAGGCAGGTGATCAGCTCCTGTGATGAAGAGTAGGAGGTCTTCAAAAGAAAAGTCTGTCCGACCATCTGATTGAACACAAAGACAAAACAACTTCCTCAGAAATGTCTCGATCAACCTCAGACACAGTTTCAGGCCAATTGTTTATATTTTAGAGCTTACCGCTGACGAATGTGAGGACCGTTTCCCAGTGTGTGACGGTGGCCTCCTCCTCCACCCTCAGCTCAGAGTCAGGATGACTGTAGCAGAAAGTGAAGAGCTCTCTGAACTCTTCCAGCGTCAGAGGTCGCAGCACTTTGCCCGTCATTACTGGTAGAAATGCCTCCCAGTGAGACTTTATCAGATCCCACAGTCCTCCGCAGCTGTTCAGGCCCTCAATGAACTGGGAGATCATACTGGCCACCCTGAAGTCCACGAGAAAGGAAAACTGACAACACACGTCCCAAGACAGCCAAATTAAAAAATACATGAAGTAACTCATAAACCACAAACACGCCCCCCACCTGTGGTAGATGCAATGTTTTACCAAACGAGCATAAATGGTAGAAATTTCATAAGAACAGGCCGAATGGATTCCAGGGATCCCACAATGCGATACCCAGTCACACAGACTGGGAGATAGCTGCCTTACATCATTACAACTGTGCAGCTGCAGAGGAAGAGCAGAGGAGGCTTAGAAAACACCAAAACATTCAAAAATAGATTTATTTCATAAGAATCGCCTTACCTTCCATGTGTGTGTGGGAAAAACAACTAGGTTTTATTTAAAGGTTTAAAAATGCATAGTGTGTGTGTGTGTGTGTGTGTGTGTGTGGGGGGGGGGGGGGGGTCACCTCTTGCAATCGCTTCTGTGCTTCAGCATCAACGATGTCCCTCCAGCTGAAGTTCTTCAAAGACGGACTTTGGCAGCACATCAGCTGTGTTAATACATATAAAATATAAAAGACATGAACAGAGGTTAATATACATAAAAGGTTACATGAAGTCATCTGGACAGTTTCTATTTGGGAGGAACATTTTGTCTTTCATCCAAAAGACTTCTTCAGTCTGCAGCCTGCCAATCCAGCTCTGGCTTATAAATAGCCCTCATTGATGTGTTTAAAGCCAGCCTCCTGTTGAATTCCCAGAAAGTGACTTTACACATGCAACAAAGGAGGAGCCATCTGTCCAAAACCATCGATCATCATGCATAACAAATGTTTTAGGCCTGACAGCCAACTATTCTGCACCTCAACAAATCTTCATATGGTCTAATTGTTGGATAACTGAATTATCCTAATCATCAACCCATTACTCAAATAAGCCACTGAAGATACAAGAAGATTTTTCACCCCAGTTTTACTCCTTGCGACGGGGGCAGAGTTAACACACAGGCTTACACAGATGTTGCAGCGAAGCTCCGGTCGCAAGTTCTGTCCACAGACAGTGTAAAGGAACAAGTATTTTTATAACGCTTATCAGACAAAGACGAGGTCGAAGCAGCCTCTGCTTTCCAGCTTAGAGGGATTGGAGTTTATCAGATGTGCAGGCTCCTCTCTGTTCAGACAAAACAACTAACACACACATGGTTCTACATTAATTTAACATTGGTATGTGATAACATCCGTGACACCAAAGTCCATGCTCAGTTATTTGGGTATAAAATCCAACACTGTTCAGTCAGGTCATCTGGATGGTTTCTTTTTTTTTTTTGCTGAGACGTTTCATCCTTCATCCAAAGGACTTCTTCGATCTGATGCGCCACCAACAAACAAGACTGATTTCCACAAACAGCATACTCCATAGTGGGGAAAAACAGTTTGCTGGTGCTAAGATGGCCTCCGGGGCCCACCCCCCATCAACTCCTCTGAGAAAGTCATGCCAAAATGGTTCTAAACACCACAGTTTATGCATCCGTGACCTTTACCTAAATCCCCCTGACGCTAATGTCACAATGTGCTTTTGTACATGTGTGTTTGGCTGATTTGGAGTTTATAGTTATGGTTTTATGTTAAATACCACATTAAAATTGGCTAAATAATAAGCTTTTAAATTTATTTTCATGTATAAAACAAGTTTCAAAATGTTCTTATCGTATTTGACAAGTTTTAATGATCCAAAAGGTGTTGAACAGTTAAAACTATCAGACGTTCACAGGAAAAATACCTAATATTTTCAGATCCTGCAAATTGCTTTCCTTTTTAATTAATTCTATTTTTTGTAGCTACACTTTTTTTAAATAAAAGCACAAGGACTCTGCGCAGCGTTAGCCTCTGGAACACGCAGCATTAAAGTTGTCGGTTAGGTAACCTGGTAGAGAGCAGGATGAAGACAGGGTCCAGGTCCTCCATGAGTCAGTGACCAGCCAGTCAGAATGCCAGCTTCATAATACTTCCTGTCGTCGAGCGCTGTGAGGTCATGCGTCAAAAACAGACTTCCTGGGTGACCCTCAAACACGCAGCTCTGCTGCAGCTCCCGCAGGACCAACCTGAGGAGAAATTCAGTCAAAACCTTTCAACAGCTGAAGACGTTATTTTTCCCATTTGTGAAATTTTATTATCAAACATTAAAACCATCAGTATAAGCACAGACTGTGTGTTTCAGCAGCATTTTCACTGAAATGATCTGAACCTGAAGAACTCCCTGAGTGCTTCCTCGGGGCTGTCGTGCTCCTCTTCATCAAAGGAGATAATCGGTGTGGAGCTGAAGCAGAATCCAGGCTTCTTCACCTCTTTCAAAGCGCAGTCGAGCACATCTTTTCTCCTCACCACGATGTGAGTTTTTACACCTTTAGTCAAGTTTTCTGCTCTGAACAGCCTCAGGATGGTGTCCAGGTCAAGAGTCAGCTGCAAATAAATCAAGTTTTACAAAAAAATAAAAAATAAAAAGAAGAAGTTTTGCCCATTTTGTTCCAACTCTGAAAATGTTTTCGTCCAAACAGAATTCAAGTTAACTCACCTTCTCTGGTGTCTTGCAGATCTGTTTGATCAGCTGATTTTTGTTCTTTGCACTAATTTCTGAATAAGCTTTCTTCCTGAAAATATATTCAAGAATTTAGTCCAAGTTTTAGTAGCATTTTGAACCGTTTCTGGATAAATTTTACCTTTTCATCACGCTTATCTCGCTCGCTAAACCTTCAATTTCTTCCTGTTAGAAATGAAAAAGCAAACTGATTTGCTTCAAAAGATTAGATTTAAAATGTTACTAAAGCTATGTACAAAAATAAAATTAGCATTGTATTCTAATATCAAAGTTTGTGCTCAATAATCCAGGTTAAAAAAAAAAAATCCATCAAAGTTCAGTCAGGTACTCTGGACGGTTTCTTTTTTTAGTTGAGATGTTTCGTCCTTCATCCAAAGGACTTCATCAGTCCAAGGAGCCACGACAAACTCAGTGATGGGGAAAGATGATGTAAAGGTCATGGATGTTTTTTCCCTTGCTAATGTCAAATGTTATAGAACCATGTGTGTGTGTTTGAGTTGTTTTGTCTTTATAAAATGAAGCCTGTGGACCTGACAAACTTCAAGGTCTCTGTGAGCAGACCTTGTCTGACATGTAAGTGACATGTAACATCTTTATGCTTGTTTTTCCAACGCTGCTCCTCTTTAAAGATTAAACCTGGGTTGACAAGATCTTCTAGTTTTTCTTGTGTGGTTTATTTATTTAATGAGCCAATAATAGGACAATTAAATTATACAACATTTTTGGTCCTTCAGCCCACCCTCAACATCTGGACTCGGATCCCACAAGCAGCACACCCACATCGTGGAGCAACCAGTTTTCTGGTGATAAGATGGTTTCTGGGGCCCGCCCTCTCCCCCATCAACGACTCTGAGGCAGCCAAAATATGTTTTTACCTGGATTATTGAGCATGAACGTTTTGAATGCTTTGAACCACTTTGGCTATGGCTGCCTCAGAGGAGTCGACGGGGGAGAGGGCGGGCCCCAGAAACCATCTCATCACTAGCAAACTGGTTGCTCCACGATGTGAGCATGCTGCTTGTGGGACTATGGCTCTTCGGACTGATGAAGTCCTTTGGATGAAGGACGAAATGTCAACCAAAAAATAAACCGTCCAGAGGACCTGACTGAACTTTGTTGGATTGTAATCTAATATTTTATTTAAGAATTACAGATAACATCACAAACAAGGAACAAAAAATAAAGCAACTTTAAACCAACAAAAGAGAAACAATGAACCCAAAGGATTTAAAAAAGAGAGACACAAGATGCTTGAAGAAAAACCCCCCTGAAAAACTTCATTACAGAAAGATGTTTCAGAACGTACCTTTACGTCTGTCATGGACTGTTCACAACAGGAGAATGATTAGAATTCTGTCTAAGCAGTTTACATCAGATTATTTTATCTTTAAGTGAAGGAGGTGATCCTGGAATACGTTTATGTTTTGAAAATGAAAGGCCTGACCCAGATTCTTGGAAGTGAAACTGCAGTGACTGGTTTTGCTGGAAGCTTCATTGCAGAGATAAAATCACTGATAACAAGGAAGTAGAACTTCAAAAGAAACTTTGAAGAGCCTGTGGAGTACCTGCAGGATGCTGTGGTGACTGAGGATGTATAAAGCACCGTGACCGCAGAGCCTGAGGACCTGCTCCCCGGTCCAGCCCTCCTCAGGAGTGTTCGGGACAAACAGGACTCTGGAGCCCGGGACACTCTGAAACAACACAATCCATCAGTCTCTGAAGGATGGACATCTTCATTCTGAGACTGTAATTAAAACATCAGGAGGTTATACTGTAAATGCACCCAACCTGTAGATATGTAAAAGAAAACCTTTGCCCTGTTTTCTCGTTGAACTGATTGTGGAAAAGCAACGCCAGGCGATTCTCCATCTGAGCCGCTGACCAGCTGGAGTCGATGGTGATGCGAGCAGTCAGCTGAGTCGCTGCTAGAGCAGAGTGCCGTTTACTCCGTGGAGAGATTTTTCTGCAGGAACACGAAGGGATAGATTCATTAAGTCAGCTGTGGCAGACATAAGTTTGGATATTTTTTGTTAAAAACTTCATGTTTTTGGATCTGAAGTGAATTCTTCTGAGAAACATGAATGTGCAGAGAAAGTGTTTTTGGCTCTTTGAACATTCACGTTTATTACAGAATAAAACTTTTCTAATCATCTGAAACAGTTGGAACACCTCACCCCTCCAGCTGGGCCATGTAAAGTTCTCTGGTCAGACAGACCACGTCTTTGACCACAAGTCCAGGCTTGGGTGGGCTCAGTTTCTTCCATTTCACGTGACTGGTTTTGTCCGAGGACAGCTGGAGCACACGACATTATAGTCATTTATTCAGCAGAATTAAATAGTGCCATGTCAGTGTTGTTCACAAATGATCAGTTGGAGTACTACACAAAGCCCAAAGTAAATAAAAAAAACAAGGTTTGCTGCAAATCAGATAAGAAAAGTACCATACCAGTTTATTTATAGAACACTTAAAACGGCAACAATGCCAACCAAAGTGCTACAGCAGAAACAAAGTAAAGCACACAGTAAAACATAGATGTAAATCTCTCTCTCTCTCT